AGGGCCACGCTGGAAGGTGAGGTTCCCCCAGGAGCAAGCAGTGCCGGGCGCTGTCCCCACACCAGGTTTGGGACAGGCACACCGTGTCCTGGCCAGCCACATCCCACTGAGCCCCTTGTGCCCCCAGACAAGCGGAGCCTGCTGGTGAAGGAGCTGCTGAGCCTCTCGCCCAGCCAGCGCAGCCACATGATGCTGCTCTCTGTGCCTCTCAGCCTGGCAGAGAAACGCACCCTCCGGTAGGTCCTCTCCCACTGGCCTCAGTCAGGCAGGGGTCCCACAGCCGAGCTGTTCTGGGGCCTGTGCCACTCTGACATCCCTCTCTGCTGCGCAGGTGGGAGCTGAGTGGGCAGAGGGGCCCCCTGAGGCAGCGGCCCCCCGGTCTCCCTGCGGATGGTCCAAGGACTACGTCGTCCTTGTAAGTCTGGGGCATGCACAGCAGCTGTCAGGGGCTCCAGTACAGGCTCTGGCCCCAGTGCTCACCCCCGTCTCCCTCTCCCTAGGGCTGCCGGGGTGTCTGGTACAGGATCCTCTCCCTGCTCCCTGCCATGCAGCCTTGGCACTACACCCTGAAGCAGATCAGCGGCCGCTTTGGCTCCAGTGTCCTCTCCTACTTCCTCTTCCTCAAGATGCTCCTTATGTACAACATCTTCTCATTCCTCATCCTCCTGGTCTTCGTGGTGGCCCTGCAGGCTGCATATCCTCCTGCCTCAGCCAGCCCCCAGCCCTTCACTGGCCTTGAGCTCCTCACAGGAGCGGTAAGCATTGCCAGCACACCAGTGCCAGCGCATCCCTGGGCCAAGAGCTGCTCCAAGCCTGGGGCCCAGCCCTGCGTCCCCACCACAGCAATGCCCCAGTCCCTGCCCTGCATCTCTGCGTCCCCGCTACAGCGATGCCCCAGTCCCTGTTCTTGCACAGCTGGGGCCCTGGGACCGACAGTTCTGTGGGTGCACAAGGGGTTGCCTGGTGCTGCCTCAGCCCAGGGCTCTGTGTCCCCATGGGCTGCCACAGATGTGCCAGGCTGGGCAGGGAGTCGTGGGCACCAGCAAGATCGCCATGGACACCATCGTGCACTTTCCTACAGGGCTACTTCACTCACTCGCTGCTGTACTATGGCTACTACAGCAACGTCACCCTCAACGACCCCTGCGCCTCCAGCCCCAATGGCAGTGCCTACTCCCTTACAGCTCCCCGGCTCCCATACAACATGCCGCTGGCCTACATGTTCAGTGTTGGGGTCTCCTTCCTCATCACCGGTGTCCTGCTAATGTACAGGTGGGTCAGCAGCACCTCCAGCACTGCCAGCCTTCCCCACTTTGCCCAGCCCTGACACCCTCCCCCTCGCTGCAGCATGTCCCACTCTTTCGGGGAGAGCTACCGTGTGGGCGGCTCTGCGGGGGACTTGGCCATCAAAGTCTTCTGCGCCTGGGACTTCAAGGTGATCCAGAAGCGTTCAGTGAAGCTGCAGTGTGAGAACATCTGCACCCAGCTGAAGGTGAGGAGCTGGGCTGAAGTCAGCCCCTGCACGCCCAGCGCCCTGCAGTGCGCAGGTGAAGGCGCTCACAGGAGCCGGTCCAGACCCCAGGGCTCAGCGCCCCGCTCCTACCCGCTGCACAGGGGTGCCCTGCAGCTGCAAATACCCCCTGACCCTGCACCAGCACTTTGTCCATCAGCTCTCTGGGTCCCAGCTCAGTGCAGCAGGACAGACCCTCGCCCCAGACCCAGAGCATGTTCAGTAGCACTGGCACTGCTCTCTTCCAGGAGCTGCTTGCGGAGCAGCAGTCCCGCTCCCGCTCCCTGAGCCTCTGCCAGCGCCTGGGGCACTCCGCCGTGCTTCTCCTGGCCTGGGCTCTCTCGCTGAGCACCGTGCTGGGCTGCGTGCTGGCAGTGCACTACTTCTCGGAGCACATGCATGCGGTGAGTGCTGCCCCTCGCCATGGGATCTCCTGCCCTGGTGTTGGGCTGGGGCTGGGGTACGGGGGACCCAGGCCAGAGCCGCCCTGGGAGGCCGGAGCAG